TTGGGCTCTTTTGCTGGTCATGGGTTCTCTCTTCAATTCAGTCTGGCTAAAACTCATTTAAATATCAATAAGCCTACCTGTCCTCCATGTCTGTTAATGCTTTCTTTTGTACACACCCAATTCCCTTGCCCTTGTACAAGCTCTCTGGGTCCTTAGCATTACCTGCATCTACATCTGCAGAAGTTCAGCTTCAGAGAGAACTTTTCTGCCTCCTACCTGAAGCTGAACCATGGCCAAGACAATGAGACAAAGTCCTTTAAGTGTACAAAAGAGACCATGAAAGGGTCAAGAATGAATTAAACTCGGGGAAGATGCCACTTTAGATCTCAAGATTGGATGCCTCACTTGGATTAAAAGATTCCATTTCCATGCCTTGTGCTGTTTTGCTGGATTATGTGATCAAATCACCATCTCATGCATTCCTTGAGTGACACTGGTGAAAAAAAGGGCAATCTTCTACAAGTTTTTTCCTGTAATTTTATGGTGAGGTGTTTTTGCTAAACCAAAGCAGAATATCTCCAGATCTGACTTTCTGAAATGCATATAAAGTTTGCCACAAACAACCACTGGAGAGAGAGTAAAGTCTTTTTTTGGGAGCAGCAGTTACCTTTAAATGGGAAACATCAGCATCAAGATTGTGACAATTATTTTTTTCTATTCCTCTGTGAGTTAGAACATTGAGATTCTGGATTTCTGACCCAACTGCAAGAATCAGAAAAATCGTAGCATAATTTTCCAGGCTTTGTTTCCCCCCCTCCCCGCAATATCACATAAAGAGTAGAGAAGTAAATCTATCTTTTGTGTGTCCACTGGATTGACTTTTATATTAAACTCATTGTTGTCTAGTTCATTTGATCTCCAAAGGGTGCAGGAAAATGTAGTTAATTAGTTTAAAACTCTTGTAAATAAGGAACCCTAACAGTGGCTGAGGTGTAAAAAGGACAAGCAAAATTTGTTGTTTTTCCACTTTCATCAGCATAGTAGCATGTTTACTACTGACAAAAGACACAAAACAACAAAAGCAAATCTAGCATCAACAGAGGAAACAATACCAGGTGAGTCAGAGCCTTATTTTTCCTTAGATCTGTCAAACACACCCTTGTGTGTCTGTGTGCACATGAATAAATACATATATATGCAAAAATATGTAATGGCCTGTCTGTTATGTGTTTGTATACATTTGAATCAGCTGTAAACACCAAAGCAGCAAGGGTGCATTTGCATATTCAGGTACACTTATTTCTTGAAAAGACACCAAAAGCCCTCCTCCCTTTCTATGTTCATGCATCCACACTTAAATCTACAGTGCTATTTTTTCTCCTTCCTTTTTTTTTTTTTAAGTGTAATCAAGGAAGAGAACTGTTCCAATTTTCTTCAGCTGCTTATGTTAATTCCTGGATGATTTCTTTCTTTGAAGTGTCCGTAAGGAGGTGTCTCTCAAGGGTGTAGTCCCTCACTGAGTTACCACCACTGTTCTGTATTTGAGGAAGGCATAACACAGAATTAATCCAGCCCTGTCCTGACCCACCAGAGACATGAGAAAGACATGAGCAGAACTATGATTATGTGATTTTTTAATGTGCTACAGTTATTAAAACCACAAATAAATAGTCAGGTTGCATAGAGAAAGAGGTATCTCAAATAAAACTTTCCTGCATTACAAACATGAAGGATTTAATTTGCTGCATGAATTTTAAGTACATTTTTCCATGGTCTATTTCCACTGAAGTCAAAAGTAAATCTTTCACACTCTTCTGTATTTCTCCTCATGTGAAAAATCCCATTGAATTCAGAGGATGTACATGAGCAAATATTTAAGCTTCTACACACACTTTCTTAGCAGGATCAAAGCCTAAGGTCAAATCTCATTTCCAAAAAGCTTCTTGCCTTGGAAATCAAAGCAGATTTAGTGTAAAAGAAATTCTCATTATTGCCCTCTCTTTCCAATCAGCCATGAAATAACCCATACCTCTTGGAAAAAAATAGGTTTTGGGCACAAAAATTTTCCAGAAGAAGGAAGATAAGGAACACAAGCCTTTGTATGAGATCCTGTTTGTCTCAAGACAGGACAATAAAGCTGTGATTTCTTAATAATGGTGTAAAACGTGTATTTTAAATATACATACCAATAAACTCTTAATTAAAACCTTTTCCTACTATACATAATTTGTTTTTCTGTCTATAAGATGTAACCTTAAGCTGATGCTCTAAACTAAGCATTTCTGTTCTGAAAAATGCTCAGTATTTGAGCCAGTTTTATCTTGTCATATTCACCTCCTGCCTTCCTATTTGAAGAGGGTTTTTTTCCAGGGTTACCTGTGAAAACTCCTTCACGATTTTGGCACGAGGATTTCGTGGTATGAAGTGTGTTTTTGGTAGCACAGGAAGGAACTGTTCCCCCCATTCTCATCAAGTTGCATCAGCCTTGGGGCTAGTACCTGAAGGTTGCTGCTTTGCCAGTAAATTAGTGTCAGGACAATGGAATCAGATGCCAAAATTATCTGTTTATGGAAATAAATAATTAGAACAGTCCTTGACATCTTTTGGCATGGACCAGCTTGCACTCATCCCCTTCAAACAGTGAGTGCTGTGGTTGGTCTCAGCACTATTCCAGAGGAGCAGAAGGGTGAGATCAGTCGATTTTGAATGATAATAGACATGAAAAAATGTGGCCAGAGAGGAAGTTCTGGCAGTTTCCATTTACTGGGAGACACTCTGCCTTAAATTCCATCAAAATGCTTTGAATGATCTTCAGACTGCCTGCCAGGGTGGGCTTTGCCTCCACTGCTCCCAACGCTGCTCAATCCCCATGTGCAAGTCAGATCCCAGGCATAGCTTTGCTGAGAAAAGCCCAGGGTGGATTTTGAGGACAGACAGACGTGCAGGAGTCTCTGTATACACACATGGATGCAAAGATGTTTACATAAATATGTCCTGATCCAGAATGGAATTTTAGAGTGCAAGCATGATGCAAACAAATAGAAGAAAAAATGAAAAGCTTCTTGACATTCACATTTGTTTGGAGTATAGAATGTTAGAATGAGAAAAATAACTGCATTTGAATTCATAAATTCAAACAACATTTTGTTGGAGTGTTTTTCTGGTTATAGGCAAACTAAGCATATGAATTCATATCCTCCACTGAGCAATATCTATACAGTTACCGTAGAGTAATTTTGTCTTCAGATTAGTTAGGGGTAATTCTATTTTGGTTTATAAAGTCAATGGAGCATGACATTGTCACAGGATAGTGGTCTCCCACTGCTACCTCGTTTAAGCAATCAAGCAAAAAATAAAGCATATGTTACACCTTGTAATGTATTTCTCATTCTTGTATCCTTACACTATTTTCATTGTCATAATGATCCAGTCTTTATCTGCTTGGACTTTTTATATAAGTTAGCTTCTCTCCAAGGTTTACAAATTAATAATTTAATCAACAGCCATGTACTATATATTATTTTTTCACCCAGAAGCACAGCCTTCCTGAGTTACAGTCCACAGAAGATGGTTCAGCTACAAGAGGAATGGCCTACATCTGACTGCTTGGGCTGCTGCTCCTGTCGCCTGGTGAGCATCAGTCGCTGTGCTTGTCTCAAAGTGTGACTTCCACAGACTGTTTCTGACACTCATGAGGGCAGGAAGACACCTGAGGCTGGTGTTCAGCAGGATTCCAGGGAAATAGCGTGTGACTCTTGTAGGAAATGAGAAATGAGATCAACCTTTCTCCCACTCGACTGAAAAAATGCGAGGGCAGGTTTGTGCTTAAAGTATTTGATGCAGATTGAAATGACTGTGCTGAATCCTTGGTTTAGCCCTGTGAGACTTTGGGTGAGAGACTTTGCTTAAGAATCACTTAGGATGATGCTAAAACATGCTAAAACCGATGAAAATTTCTAAAAGTCTAAAAAGCCGAACAATTTTCTAAAACCCTGGAAGCCATTAGGAGTTATGGTCCTTGTTAGCTCTCTTTTGCTTTATTATCATTCAGAAATAATTGCAAGGTGAAAAAAAGAGCCATTATTCTCTCTCTGCTTTTTCTATCTGGATGAAAAACATTATTTGTGACACACTTCATGCTACTATGCATTCATATTCATCTCTCACAAGCAGCTCAGAAAGGTGCTGCTGAGGCAGTATAACCAAATAATAGGAATTTACATTCACAGTTTCAAAGCAAAGATGTGGAGTCTCAGTTAAGTTTCTCAAACATCAACGCCTCTAATGAAATTCTAAATGCCTTACAGTGTTCTACTTCTCCTCCACCCATCAGTGCAGAAGGGTAATAAACTCATCTGTGTCCTGCATCACAGATGCCACTCTGTTGGTGTTTCATCCATCCTTGGTCTTTTCAAATGGCACCAAATGTCAGAGCAGTCAGTCCTTGGTGTACTCTCAATTTGTTCATCAGTAAAGACAGTTAGACAGGACCTTTTTCCTGGACTTTTAATATAATTTGCCTTTGTGACTCTCTTCTGGTGGTGTCATTGGTGTATTATTTTTTCATAGGTTGCTTTAAAATCTGTGTTTAGGGATCTATGTCCTGACTTTATCCTGAAAGCCTTAAGGAGAATGAAATTACAAAATTTTGCTGTGAGGGTGGTGAGTCCATGGACAGGGTGCCCAGAGAAGCTGTGGTTGCTCCATCCCTGGAAGTGTCCAAGGCCAGGCTGGACGGGGTTTGGAGCAGCCTGGGACAGTGGAAGGTGTCCCTGCCCATGGCAGGGTGGTGGAATGAGATGAGCTTTCAGGTCCCTTCCAAATCAAATCATTCTGTGATGCTTGCCCTACCCTGTGGTACAGTGGCAATAATAGCTGAAATTATTTTTTTCATCTTAGATGGAATTGGGGAACCTGGGAAGTCTGAAATGTCATTTGAAGTTCTGTGCTGTAAATGGAATGTTTTATGTTTTATACAGCATGTTGCACATAAAAAACTTTACCCATGATCAGTACCCTTGAGGAGGGGAGAAAAGAAGGCTGATGAAAGAAACATTGACTTGTAGCAAAATATTTTTATTTCAGTAGGAAATAGAAGAGGCAAATTTCAGATCTCCAAGTCCAGTCTGCCAAATTCTTATTCCTTTAAGCTGCACCAGGATGTGAGGAGTGCATGCGAATTAACAGCCTGATATAACTTCAGAAATGTTCCTTCTTTGAAGAAGAATCTGGTCCAGATGATCATCCAAGATTCCTTGCAGCCTAAATGGTTCTATGGCTTAATTATCTTTATTTCTCCTCTTGGAAGCCCTGTAGTGAATTACCATATATGTGGCACTGATGATCTAGAGACTGAGCCTAGAAACAAAACAAAGAATCAGTCAAATTAACTGCAGCATTTAGATGAAAAAAAATCCTTTGTCAAGTTCACTGTTTTCTTTGTACATCTACAACAGAATTGCCATATTTTGATCCCCTTTTCAGCCAAGAGCTCAGTGGAAGTCAATGTAACTCCAAGCTGTATTACAAAGGTTTTAACTCAGTTTCCAAGGCTAACTATATATGCAAGTCACAGACTCTCGATTTTGTACTGAGAAACCCAAGATTTACTTTTTTTTCCTCTGTCAGAAGCCAGGACACTAATCCTGGAAAAAGAAAAAAAAGTATTGATCCCATACCTATTAATTTAAAAATATGTGGTTTTGAACTCAAGCTGGCTTTGAGGAAGCTGTAATGAATACGAGTCACGATCCAGCATACTTTACTTCTTTTGACTAATGCCCTTTTCCATAGGAACTGTGAAAGGAAAAAAAATATCTTCTTTTACGGTTATTCTTTCTTATTTATATACACACTCTGGGGCAAATGACTTTCCTGTCACTGGAGGGACATCAAAAAGGAAAGCAGTTGCAAATTTCTCACAGAGCTGAACTTCCTGGAATACTTTACTTGGCTTCCAGAAAATATTATTAAAAAAAGTGGTTTCTTAGTTTCACTTGCTCCTTGAGGCAGGTGGAACTGAGAAATAGCTAAAGGGTGGTTCCATAACTAAGGAATTGTCTAGAGTATTTTATCTTGATTTTTTTAAGTATTCAGATCTGTCATTTCAGACTCGTTTACTATTAGTTGGACTTCCTGATGATATTTTTTATATATATTTTTTAATTCCCAGCTTGAAACACCATAAGTGAGACTAATTTTCAATTTTCAAGAAATTATTCATGCTCTTTTTCTTTGTTTGGTTTTTATTTTTTTTTTGTTTTGTTTTGGGTATTTTGAGATGATCAACATTTTGAGTTCATCAGAAAATCTTAGGTGCCCAAGAAGTCCTAAGAATTGACATGTGTTTGGCTTACTGCTAATTTCTATTAATAATCAAGGGATGGGAGAGGAATTTTTATTTGTTTCTATCTCATCACTTGAACATTATCATCCAACATGATTCAGCACCTATTTTGTGGCAATTGAAGTGGTGAAAATCTATTCAATATTGGTTATAATAGATCACTACTAAACTGAGTGAGATTTTTTACTCCTAAAGGTTTTATAAAGTTAATACTAGCTAGAAAATTACAATATTAAACAGTGAAAATTGCTACAGCAGACATAAACATTTATCTCATAGATTGAAACATGATTTCAGGCAAAACCTCCTCTGCTGTTACCAAGCATTAGTTTTAAAAAAGTAAATGTCCCGATTGGAGGTAATGGTCTCCAATGCTGTTTAATAATTTGAAAAAAAGACAGAAGAAAATAATAATGAAGGAATTTTGCAAAATTTTGCCTGGACATATATTTATTTCTGTTTTGGAAGATTATTTTATGGCCCTACGGGAGCAATGAGATGGGCACTTCTGGAGTCCCATGTACCCTTTGGAACAGATCATATTTTCCATAAAGTATTAAAACCTTACTTCCTGATAAGTTGTGATGGGGTTTCTGTAGCTTCTGAGATAAAATCCAACTCTTTTGTAAGTTTGGACTTTCATATTTGGATCATATAATAAAGTTTTTGTGCGGCTCCCTGCAAAGCTTGGGGTTGTCAAACTCTTACTTCAATAGAGTTTGAGTATAATACCTTATCCTGTCTTTTTTGCATCAATAATTTTAGCCTTGCCCTAGACCAGTAGACCACCTTCAAATAATTTTTGGTTTTAGTGTCCAAGTAATGGAAAAGGAAGAGTTCTTTCATTTCTGAAGGGTATATATGTATACTAGTCTACTAGAAATACATACATATATATAAAATATGATTGATTGGTATTAGATAATACTACTGGTTTATGGGGCATGTATATATATCTATATAAATATATATATATATATATAATATTTATACAAACATATATATGTATATATTTACACTGTACTAGAGTGCTGGTTCCATGCAGTTGAAGGAAGTCCTTTCTCAGCTTTTGAAATTTGAAGCTCTGTGCCTAACAGTATTTTTTCCAAAGGCATTCCTACTGCTGGGGAGTTTAACTCTTACAGACCATCTCTGTCTGTGTGGCAAAGAGTATTTTCTCCAACAGGTCCTAAATGCACTGTGAGTGTTGACTAAAATTTACTGCATGAATCCAGTATAGTTCTCTTTCCTCAGTGAAAGACCTTCAGAGAGGTTTTTAAGAGCATCTGTAAAGAAGTCAGAGTTTGTACAGGGGGTTTAGAATTAAGGTATGGTAATTTTAACAGAAATTGTTCTTGGTCAATAATTTTTTCCCTGTGAGGGTGGTGAGGCCCTGGCACAGGGTGCTCAGAGAAGCTGTGGCTGCCCCATCCCTGGAAGTGTCCAAGACCAGGGTGGATAAGACTTGGGAGGTGTGGAAGGTGTCCCTGCTCATGGCAGGGCATTGGAATGAGATTATCTTTAAAACATCCCTTCCAATCAAACTGTTCTATTGATTCTGTGTAGTTGAACTTCTGTGTATGTGACTTAGTTTTGTCGAGTGTTGTCATGCTACTCCAAGCTATTAAAAAGCCCCACATGGTTTCCTACACCTTCACTGCTCTGGTGTAGTATTGCCACAGCACTAACTGTGTACACAAAACACACTACATTACTGCACTTGCATTTGTATTCAGGACAAACTACTAGTTGTAACCTAATTTCCTTATAGATGTTACAGACCTCTAGTTTAACTACAGCAATGTCCTGCCCTTGCCTTCACCTTACACAAGAAACACTCTCTAATTTGATAAAAACCCACATGTTTATTTTAGATTGGCAGACAAATTTTACTGAAGCTGTTGCAAAGGGGGCAAGGAGGGTTTCTTTCCAAGGGTAACAAGCTGCCAGACAGCAGAAATTCAGTTTTGGTCCCTAAGATGCTGGAGCAATTGAGCCAGGCTCGAATCTCTCTACGGCATCACTGCAACAATGTGAATATGAGAAGCCACAGAGGTGACCTAGAGCTGTCTTCTTCCTCCCATCTCTGGGGTGCAAAATTTTCTGCCGTTGCCTCTAGATGTGGTTTCTGCCAACTCTCTCTCCATTTTCATCTTTGCCTACAGAAGTCTCCGTGGAGGCTGGTAGAAAGGGATGGCTGGGCACTGAGAACTTGTCGTATTTACTACTTTATCCTCTGCCAGTCTGCAGGGGGAAAAAGTTGCTGTGAAAGGAGAATAGATGGAGCAGGAAAGTGTCTGACTTTGGAAGGGAGCATTTAGTACAGAGATATTCAGACTTTATAAAATTTCAGCTACAGCTCTCTTCTCCTCCCCATACACAGAAAAAATCCAGCCAGCACCTCAACCAACCTTTCAGAACCTTTTTCTGGCTTGAGGCTAATTGCAGCTCTGCATTCTGGGAAATAGAGAGGGTGTCCCAGCCATTGAAAATAAATCTTAATTTGGACTCACTTTCTCTCCTTGTTAAACTGTTGGTAATTTGGTACATAAGAGGGCTGCTCCTGTGAGCAAGAGACACGGCCCCCTCTCCATCCTCTTATACTACAAAGCTTGCATTTTTCATAGTGGATTAGCAAGTCTAGACATCTTATAAAATGTCAATGAATGTATGGATCTTCAGTGTGTATTTCTCAGGAGAGCTCTGCTTGTTTGCAATGCCGCTCTCCCAGCCCGATCAATACAGCCACAACAGCCTTCTGCATTTTCTGTCAGAAAACAGAACCCCACTCACTGGATTTTTTATTTTTTATTCTTCTTTCCAAGGCAATTAATAAAATAGTGGAGGAAAAGAAAACAGAGGGTGGGCGGGGAGCTGGATCATATGCCGAGCACCCAGGGAAGTTGTGAATAAAGTGTTTTATTTTAATTATTATTACTAACCACAGAGGCACAATAAGAATTATCAGGAGGAAAATCATACCTCAGGGGCGAGACAAGGACTGTGGAAGAGAAGGGAAAGGAGGAGCAGCTGAGTGAAAGAACCCCCACGGGATGTGATTATCTCCTGATAACAACATCCCCAGACTTATTGCTATTATGAAATTTCATTTCTCTACTTTTTTAATATACACAGATACATATATAAATTATTTAGGTGAAGTATTTCAATTCCCTGCAAACCACGAGTTTGCATTAAAATGCTTCAGCTGTGAGATTCTAAGGTATATTAATTTCCACTCTTTGAGGATGTTGAGCAGTCCATCAGAATAAACTCTTCATCCTCGGCTGTTTTATGATATTATTACAATGTATTTTACTTGGGGAATGGTGGGTGGAACAAGTTTTCAGAGAAATAGTCTTGTTTGGGTTCCATTTGGTTGCTGGAGGGGGAAAACTCCATATAAAACGACTCTGGCTGTTCAATAAGGCATCCTGATTTCTTCTTCTTATTATTTTTTCCCCACCACAGTTCTATTTCTTGTCCCCTTTTGAGAAATCCCAAGTCACCTCCCCACCTACTCTAATAACAGAAAGGAGATATTGCAGTCACAAGACACAGGGACCTCGAGGACTGCATTCAGCTGTGTGTTTTGTATGTTGAGCTTTCTGGCAATTATATATAAAAATGGGGACAGGTTTATGTTGTTACTGAAATCAGTTTTACAATTTCACTTGTGATTGAAAACTTTTTAGCGCTGAAAGATACTTTAAAAATCCACCTCATTTTTTTGTTAGACTGGCCCAGATTGTGTTTGTTCTATTTTCCTTTTAATTTTTCCAGAAGCTTTTATTTCAATTCAAGACTCTGACTGCAGCTCACAGATTTCATTTTTGGCTAAAGTTCACAGAATCAGCAAATGGTTTGGGTTGGAAGGGAACCTAAAGATCATCTCATTCCAGCCCCCTGCCATGGGAAGGGACACCTTCCACTACAACAGATTTCTCAGGAATCACTGCAAATCAGAGGGATCACTTTGCTTATTGGGTGAGCTTTAAAGCCCTTTGGATGTAGTGAAAAACTCTGTAGCAACTTCAATATGAGGGTTGCGTTAATCACATAATAAGGTGGAAAATATTTTCCTTCTCTACTCATTCAGTTCACAAATTCCTTTAATAATTCTTTCATTTGGTTGTTTTGGTTTTTTGCAATCCCAAATATTCAACATCAGGGAAAACACTGTGGAGTTTAATGTGGTCAAAACCTGTGGTTCATAGAACACTCAAGATGCTGCACAAAATTAAGTGAGCTAAATCTTTTTCCATAAAGTTTGGCATTCTTTTTCTCTTTTCTTGTCTATATGTTCTTTGAGCTATTACCCTTTTCTAAATTATTCCCAATGGAATTATTTGGGAAACACAGAAATATTTGGGGGAAGGTATTATACTAAGCCAACACAGAGCTTAAGGAAATTTTAAGCCAGTATAAAAAGACATTTAATACTCTTAGATCTGTGGTTATGGTTTTGATATCATCTCCTTTCTGTTCCATATCAGAATGAGTGAGAGCCTGGGACTGTAATATTCTGTTCCAGTTTGTTTTTTATCTTAAAGGGCTTTGACAATTATGTTTTGTTATGAAATGATTTGCAGAAGGGAAAATTCAGACCAGGAAAGAGAAATTTCACTCTCATGAAAACAATACTGATCCTTACTTTAGTTTCTTCATTTGCAGTAATTTCACTGCTCAATTTGTGTGTTGTTTTGATGCTTTTTATCTCTGCTGACATCTCTGGAGCAACGCCTGATACCCATTTGTTCAAGCAAAATCCCAATCACGCTGGCAGAATTCATCTAATTGTTCCCCTCACTGATGTATCACACAGACATAAAAAGTGAACTGAAGACAATGTTTCCTAGGCTTTTTTAAATCTACTTGAATAATTTTCTGAGAAAACAACCCAACACTACTTCACTTTCAGTTAAATGAACACTTTCTTTCAGCTGTATAAATCACAATACAATTGCAACCTATGGACTCACTGATCTTAATTGCTCTGCCATCACTAAGAAAATCTTACACTACTAAAAAGTAAAGATAATACTAAAGATTTTCACCTTGCATAGCACAGTTGAAACCAAAGGAATTATATTTATTCCGTCCCTGCTGATGCTCTTGCTCAGGATCAGCATCACAAGCCTGATAGGGTATATACAGACAAAACAAAAAGAAATAAAAGTTAAAAATAAATAAACACATGGGTGCATACACATATATGTATATATATACACATTTATAAGTGTATGCTCAGGAATAAAGTTGTAGAAGATTCAAGATTTTAGGAAACACCATAATTTTGGATATGAAGGGAGAAGGCCAGGCTTCTGAAACCCAGTGTGGGTGGATGGTCTCAGAGTACTCTCCCCTCTGCCTGTGAGCCTCAGAGAGTTTTGCAGCAGAAGGGTGATACAATGGATGCTTGGCTGTTTCCAAGCCCTAAGTGATCTGCTCTGATTTGTTCCACCTAGTGCTGAATCACTGAGGGTTAAAAGGCAGCAATAAGGTTTAGAAAAAGAAAGAGTTGAAAATCTTAAGGGTTCTATTCAAATTTAGTTGCAACAGATTTAGGAACATGATGTTGTTTTCATAGAAGCCCTAGCAGAGACATCAAACAGGTACATAGTCAACTATCACAGAATCACAGAATAATTCTGATTGGAAAGACCTCTGAGAACATTGAGTCCAAATTTTAAAAGTAGGAGTAAAGTGTATTAATGTGCTATTATTTTAAGTATTTGATGGATATGCAAACATTTTGCTTTGTTAGAGCACAGAAACACTCTGTCCAAACACCACTAAAAGACTTGATATAATTTTGCCTCTATAAAAATGTTTCAAATAAATTTGAAGCTGGACAGGGGAATGTTGTGACCATAAACTGCTTTCCTTAAGAGAGCATAGCTAATTTTCAGGAGAAGAGGGATGCACTTCACAGAGTTCAAAGGAATGCCACAAAACTGATCCTTGGGTTGGAAAACAAGCTCTGCGATATCAGGCTTAAGGAGCTCAACTCAGATTATCAAAGAGGGAGTGGAGAGGTGAGTTGATCACTGTGTAAGGTACTTAGAAATGTTTGATTACAGGGAGCCTGTCATCCCTGCTAACAAGGGCATAACAACATCCAGTGTCTGGAAGATTAAGTTTACATAAATACAATTTATTTAAATAAGATGGAATTCCCTGGCACTGAGAGGATGTGGATCACTGGCACCTGACCAGTGCAGGTGCACTTGGCTTTTGGCTTTTTTTGAAGTGTAATTTGACCTCTGTTTACCCATACATTTATTTAGGTGTTGCAATAATTATTTGGTCTGTGTCTGCAGCAGCAGCAGGAGGAATCCAAATGCCTCACTTGAAGTACCTGGAAGAAATCCATGGTGATAGGTCTTTTGCATGTTCAGGAAAAGCACAGTCTATATTTAGGCAATACTTGCAATTCCAATCATGTTTCTCAATTTTATCCTGATATGTGTTGTGAGAGAATTTTGTTGGGGGCAATATCTTGGCTGTTGATGATTTACTTTCCTCTGAAATGTAAGCAGTTGTTTGCAACTGGAAATGAGATATAAAAGAAAAGATATTTTGATCCCTGTTCTCTACATATTTGCCATCAACACCGAACTGGGTGTTTTGAGTGAGATTTGTTCAGTTCTTATCAGTTCTTCAAGAATCTGACCTTCCTCAAGTCTATTGGGTTTTTAGCACTTAAATTCTTCTCCCAACACATTTTGTCTTCCGCTTGTCTGTGTTGAATTTCATCTGCCATTGTGTTGCCCAATTACCTACAGTAGTTTAGTTAGGTCCACCTGGAGTTCCCACCAATCCTCTCGGGCCCGGATAACCTAAATAATTTTATGTCTGTGTCATAATAGCCATAAAATAATTCTGTGTCAAAACAATTTTGTAAATTGGTGTTTCAACATTTGTCCTGAGTGCAGCTGAACAAAACCCTTTGTGTATAGCTCCAGTCTTTGCGCCTCAAGGACTCCCCTATTATACACCTGTTCTTGACAGATTGAGGCCTAAAACAGGAGAGCTTAGTCACATATTAACCAGCAGGAAGAAAGTCTCTCCTTTTTATTAATGCCTGCCTATGAGTTCAGTGTTTGGAATGCAGTCCTACCTATAAATCAACATCAGAGACTACAACCCAGTGTGTTCAAGAGCTTTGTTTAAACATCAAAAGAAGAACACAGACAAGCACTATGGTAGAAATATAACTAATCACTTGCAAATACATCTTTCCTGACAGTAGGAGCTTAACCTTTTTGTTTAATGTTACTACAGGAAAATGCACTTATTTACTCTCTATCTATTTTCTTTAAAGCAATAGACAGGATTGCTATGAAAAATGATTGTATTTATTACTGCAATAACACAAAGAGGATTTTAGAAGTGTTCAGTAGCACGAGATTTATGGAATCTTGGGAATTTCAAGGCTTCACAATGATTAACAAGAACAGGAATTACTGAGATTGCTGAGCATATTTGGCCAGCCCATCTCTTGATAAAACAACAGCTTAGTAAAAATAAGAAATATATGTAGGGTTTTTTCTCATTTGTTGACTGGTAATGAACACAACATGATTGCATGTGGCACATTGATTAGATCAAATTAACTTCACACTCTTCTCCTGGCTTTCTTAGCTCGTAGGGGACTCCACTAGGATTTAGCCATAGTGTGCAGAAAATCCTAGAATCTATAGACCATTCCCTTTAATTTGAATGCTGCAGATTATGGATAAAAGATTGGTCACTTCTAGGATTTAAGACTTCAAAGGAAAAGAAAATAAAGAGAGACACAGAGGGGAAAAATACAAACAAAGAGCTCCTGTGAGAAAGAAGGGGAAATGCAGGCTCCTACAAGATGTGGGGCTGGGTTCGATAGAGCTCCTGAATCTGATTTTCCACTTACTCACACAAACTCCATTGAACTCAATGGCATTACTCCTCTTTTACACATTGGGAAGAGAAAGCAGAATCAACCCCATTTTTCTACTGTAGCATAGTTCATTGCCAGGAAACACAAAAAAAAAAAGATCACAACATTCCAGATTTGCTTTCATGTTTTGGGCTTGATGGTGTTTCAGTCAATACGAGTTTGTCATTGATCAGCAGCACACGCTTTGTCAGCAGGATCAGGACCTCTGTATTCTTTGTAATCTGTTTTGTAGATAACAAAAACTGGTCTTCCCAAAGGTGTGGCTTCTAATGCAAAAATAAATTTTAAAAAAAAAGGTAGCACATTGGGTACAGGGCCTTCCTTCAGATGATAAAAGTTTTCTTAACTCTGTCCAGATACAAACCTTCCAGTGGGGTTGGTCAGCTCCAAACTACTCAGCCCCAGGTGGAAAATTCTGGCTTGCATTGCACTGCCCACTTTGGAATCCAAGGTCTCACCATCTGTTGTGGTTTAACCCCTATAGGAAGCTGCTCACTCACCTCCCCCTGGTTCAAAGAGGGCAAGAATCAGAGAGGTAAAAATAAAGCATCTTGCTGGACAAAATACAGTCTTATAGGTAAAATAAAATCTGTGGGGAAAAGCAAAGCAAAATAAAAAATTCATTCCCGACTTTCTATGAGCAGAGAGGTGTTCAGCCATTGTGTTCAGGTGTTCATTCCTCACTTTCTATGAGCAAAGAGGTGTCCAGGGAAACAAGACTCCATTACATGTAATGTCTGCTTGGGAAGACAAATGCCATAAAGCTGAACATTCCCCATCCTTCCTTCTTCTTCCCAGTAGCTTTTATTGCCAACCATGACACCATCTGTTCTGGAATAGCCCTTTGGCCCATTGGAGTAATCTCTGCCCCCTTCCAACTTCTTCTGCACCCCCAGCCTCCTTTCTGGTGAGGGACAGAGGAACAGAAAGACCCTGACCCTCTGTAAGCCCTGTTTAGCAACAGCAAAAATCAACACTATTGCCAGACTTATCAACACAATTGACAGCACAAAACCCAAACACAGCCCCAGCTACTGTGAAGGACTTTACCCCAGCCAAAACCAGCCAACAGCCCTGTCGTGATGCACCACAGGTGTCACAGGATATGATGGAGCTGCCTCCACTCTCCACATGCATTTATTCCTTTCCTCCATCTGACTTTTGGCCTCAGTAGATATTTTTCTCCTATCCCTCAGGAGCTTTGTTTCACTCAGTTGGTCCTCTCACTTCAACCCCACTATGAGTCAAGAGCAATGGCTCCTTTTTAGAGGCTTTTTCACCATCTGAAGAGGAAATGGAGCCAAAATGCTGATGGCAGAAACCTCAACTTCACCTTGAACTCACGGCAAGAACTTCAGAGTGCTGTAATACTAAATTAGGCAACAGCTGTGCCCCTAAATTTGAATTAGTTTATGTTTTTCACTCTCTAAGCCTTTCTTTTTCAGGTTTTGTTCTTTCTGCTTTTTTCTACATTTTCTCTCCATTCTTAATACCATCAGGTAGCAGAGGTCTCTTCTTCCAGTCACTAGTTCCTGACTCTTCATAGCCTTCCACCTCTGTTCCACTGTGCATCTCAAAAATGAACTGAAAAGCAAAATTATGACCTTCTGTGGGCTTTTATTTCTCAGTTTGAGTTTTTTCTAGTATTTTGGCCTAGTAGCTGTTTATTCCCTATTCCTGTAGACCACTTCAGGCTTTAATTTAAATGAAAGCTGCCCTGACAAATATGACTGCCATGAATTGCCCCTGTCCTAATGTAAGCTACAGTGCTTTCATTTCCTGGAGTGCTAATGGTAAAAACACAGCACTAGTGAGCATCACAGGCTGTACAATGCATTATAAATAAAGGTACATGCACTACAGTATTCAAGATAAAAGGTATTAAGCTTACTGTAGGGGTACTGTAAAATTTAGTGCTCAGTAGAATATGCTAGTAGTCCCTAAAACAGCAGTCAGATACTCACCAGGCACAAAGACAAAGCAAATTCAAGAAAGAAACTGTCAATAGCACAAGCTCTAGAAACCTTCAAAGGGTTCAGGTCTGACCTATTTGCTCTTATCCAGTTACATTTTTTTCTTTCTTTTTCTTTTTTTTTTTTTTTTTTTTTTTTTTTTTTTTTTTTTTTTTTTTTTTTTTTTTTTTTTTTTGGTGAGCTGCTCCATTGAAATCACGGTGTGGAAAAAAAAGTATTGTGCAA